AGCCTACAGAGATAGCTAAGACCCGCCCCTGGGAGTCTGGCAGCCAATGGGATGCATTTCTTGCCCAGGAACAGGAAACACTAAGGTGGGGCCCAACAGAGGGTATATAAGGGACTCTCAGCATCTCAACCCTCCTTTTCCTTGAAGTATGTGGTCGCCCTTTTCGCCCAGGAGCTCCCAGGCATGTGGTCCTGTCCACCATTAAACCATCTTCCCAAACAGCCTCCATGTTTCCAGGGCCTTTTTCCCCACTTGGAACTGAACCCAGAAGGATATTGCTTCCAACGCTATCTATCTACATGCGCTTGTGTATGTGTGTACGTATGTTTATAAGACAAAAGCAAAAGTATAAAAAGAAATTCAAATTTATTTGCTAGCACAGAGGCCAGATATAAACAACATACAGAATAAAAGAAATATGACTTTTTTCATATATCTATATCTATCCATATGTCTGTCTGTCTCTCTCTCTTTCTCTCTGTCTATAATCACCTACACACAGTAATATGTTTGTGTGTGTGTGTGTGTGTGTTCATAAGACAAAGGCAAAAGTAAAAAAAAATAAGGACTTAATACTTGGTGAATGGTAAAAAAAATAGTGGGCTAATTTCTCTCTGATTTTCATCATTTACAGAAAAACATCAATAATTTCAAAAATTATAAAAGAAAATGAAGAACTGAAAGAGAACATAAAAAACCGGAGGTATAAGAACTTCGAATTACTAATTGAACAAGAGGACCTCATTGAAGAGTTTGGAGAACAGTTGAGCAGGTGAAAAACTTTTAGTCAGCAAACCTGACTTTCTCTTCCAGAATTTAATTTCTCCTATGCTCCCTCACTGTTCCTCCCTCCCAGGGGATCAGCATAGCCACCAAATCTCCACTCAGGAGATCCGTGGTTATACCTCCCCATCCAAGCAGGGTAGAAATCCCATTGGGGAATTGATGGGTGTCAGGTGGGGAAAGAAGAAAGTCTCCCATGGACTAGCAATCTCATGTCGTCCTTTGTGGAGTTCTTCAATGTATTTCACCAAAGATTCGTTCTCCAGCTCTAACTGATGGCATGACCTTCTTCGGGTTTTCTGCAGGTCTTCCGTTGTGGTCCTATGTTGATCCACTTTCTCCTGGAGACAGTTGCTGATCTTTCATCCACTGATTGTCTCTCTGGAATTCCTGGGTCTGAAAGCCAAAGGAGTCTTCTCAGTTCATCAACCTGGAAGTTGGGACCATCAGTGGTCACTGAGAGATCACCAAAAGAAATTGGCTGTGGGACCATTTCCTCCTTGTTGCTGACCTGATTGAAAAATGGAGAGACACAGTCATGTCCTCTCTCAGTTCAGGGCTAATTTTCCTAACCTGCATTTTCCATTCTGCTTTTTCCTATAGTTTTGGAGTCCATCATCTTCTGCAAGCATGAGATGCAGGAGGAGTGAAGAACCAACGATCTGCAGAGGTCTCTCCTGTCAAAGGGTACTTTAGATATAATCTACTCAGTCCCAAAATGCCAAAATTCAAAACATCACATTTGAGGGCACGTCAAGTGAAAACCAGCTCTCTGGAGATGCTCCTAATGTTCATGGGTGACCTTTTGGGAGATCTAAAAGTCCAGACTGGAGACTGATCACCCATCTTCCTCTGTGGCTACTCAGGAGCCTCACTCTTGCAATGTTGTCAATCAATGCAGACCAAACTCCCTGCAGAAGTCTGCCATGCTGGGAAGAGTGAAGGAAGGAGAAGAAGAAAAGCAGCTGTATAGCTGTAAGCAGCTATGGTAGGGATGGGACACCTGAAGGATCAGGTTGGGGACAGATCTCCATGGGGAAAATTGATCTATGTGGCTGCAGAGAGTCAGTACCAATTTGATGACATAGAATCAATCCCTCAGTCAGTCCTTAATGCGACCTTAATGGTCTCTTTCAGCTATAGGCTGCCATTGTCTATTTCCTTTTCATTGTATCTTTAATCTCCAAAGAGGGAACAAATCAGGGTTAAAAGAATCAAATGACAACAGCCTGAAACATTCATTAAAGTGAAACAACTTTGGATAACAACCACAAACGTGGCCCCTTTAAGGCATGGACGGTCTTCAGCTCCCAGAATTCAGCATGCTGGCTGGAGAATTCTGGGATTTGAAGTCCCCCGTACCTTAAAGGGGCCTAGTTTGAGAAACACCAGCATAATAATCCCTCAATACTGATCTCCTTTCAAACTATCCTGACTTCCCATTTGATTCCGAGTCCAATTCAAGGCATACCATCACTCAAAACCCTCCAAAGGAGTCAGGATCATCTCTCATATGATCATATCATATCATGTCTCCATCCATTTGGCCACCCTTGCACAGCTTTGGTGCTTCTGATAACAGGAAAAGATGGCAACCCATTTGAATTAAGATAGATTTTCCCCCACCCCAAGCACTTACGAGTCCCATCTCAGCCATGAAAGGCAGGTGGGTGACCTTGAGCCCATCCCTCTCTCCGCCTTTACGAGGTTCTTGTGGGGATGAAGGGATCTTAGGTGTGTTCACTGCCTTGAGCTAGGGAGAGAAAGAATAAAGGAGACATGAAAACCAAAGGAATAAAAAAATGAAAATAAAGGAATCCGCCAGTCTCCAGGCCAAGTGTCTCTGGGAAATAACTGCTCTCTGGCCAACGGAATCCCAGTTTAGGTGAATTCCCCAAACCATAAAGCGGGCCAACCCCCAGCTTTGGAGTCCCAATGCCCATCCAACTCGGACAGCCTGGAGCCAATATTTTGGGCCCGCAAACCTTGCAGGTCCTTCCCAGCACCCTCCACCGCCAGCCCCCCAGCCCCTTTCCAGAAACAGGAACCTTCCGCCTGCTGGATGGGGAGTTTGGGGACAGGGATGGAGGCTGCTCCCATGGCAGGAATCAGCCCGTCTGCCATGTTGGGCTGAGCCCCCCTTGGTTCTGCCTTGAAGGGGAGGGTCTCTCCCTTCCGAGGAACCCAGGCGAGGGAGACCCTGCGAGGCCCCCAGGGCCAGCCATCCCGTCCAGCCTCTTTCCAGGGTTGCTGAGCAGGGCCTCCATTGCTGTGGCCCAGACTCCCCGAGGATGCTGGAGGTTGTCATGGCGAGCTCCAGCCAATGAGATCAGGAGGAGCCATCCTCCCCTTCTCCCTGCCAGGACGGACCTGCCTGTCCCTTCAACTGCTCCCTCTCACTCAGCCCACCCAGGCCTCCCCTCCAGGCCAAGCTGTACGTACTAATGTAGGCCTCCAGACAAGCAATGGAATCTCTGAACGACCATCCCAGATGGCCAGCCAGGAAGACGGGGACTCCCAACGGCTCCTTCAAAGCCTTGGGGGTCTTTTGTGGTGGCAAAAAACCCCACTTTACACCATCCTCCACACGGTGGGCACCTCCACGATCTCACCTGCAGACCTCAAAGCAGGCAGTTTATTGAATAAATGAATAGATTTCAACATAGAAAGAATCTGAGTGTCTGAAATGAACCATGAAGGACAACGGAGAGAGTGGCCAAGAAAGAAAATCCTATCCACTCCATCACTTTCTCACTATTCACCCAATGATACAGTCCACAGGCTGTCACTTTATTGCCTTTTAGTCTGCTTTCATCTAAAAAATTCATATTGCTAGAAATGATGGGAAACGTAATTTCACTTCAGGCAGAAGCAATTTTAAAACCAGCTCCAATTTAGGATTCATGTATGGAGATCTAGTATAAGAGAAAATCCGCAACAGGGCCAACCTTTAACCTTAGGCCAGGTTCAAGGGTCCTGGATTGCTTCCTTGGCATTCAAACCCAGGCAGCACTAGAGTTAAGTGACATCATCTTACAGTATCACCAAACTCTATTGCTCCAGCTGACCTTCCCCAGCAGTTTCTGGAGACAAGAGACCATCTTGAAGGACAGGAGAAGTCAGTTGCCTTGTTATGGAGATGTCTTCCTCCCACATCACTTTCTGGACATATCCCGACAGGAGGGATCACAACCACCACACAACAGAGCCCCCAGGGGTGTTTGGTTTTTCACTACCATGTTTTTCTTCAACTAAGCCTCCTTGCAGTGACAAAGAAGTTTAGGGTCCCCAGGGGAAAAGTTGTTTCTCCCTGCAATAATCACCACCCTAGTTTTCTGCTACTTCTCCTGTGACTCTCTTTGATGTCAACATCAGACTGAAGCAACGTGGATGAGATCTTTCATCAGAAAAGGATAAATGTCTTAGGTCGTATTTATGTGGCACAAGTTTTCAGACAGGCGATGTCTGTGCTCTTGAGTGTCCCTTTCTTTCCTTTCCAGGTGAAGCTTGGATTGTCTCTGTCTGGATCAGAAAAGCCACCAGCATCTCCATCTGGCTTTGAATTCTTCTAACTCATCTTGTGCTTTTTGTTTTGAACTGATTCAGCACTCAAAATTATGGTTGTTCTGCTTCTGCTTCTGAAGCTGCTGGTGTCCCAGCCAGTCCCTGGGAAGCTGAGAAGGAAATGCCCACGGAGTGTGGAGCACCAGGATGGAAACAGTCCATGGAGCTATTTCAGGCCAGGAGACCATCTGATTGCTATGATCAACACTGCGACAGAAATATCTCATATAATATTCCCTTTCAACAGTCCTCCTTCTAATCCATCCCATTCGTAAGTCATTTAGAGTGATAGAGTTGCATTCCCTCCATTTGCAATTCTAACACTCTCCTTTTCTTCTTATTTCACTTAATTCTATATTACAGGATGTGTTTAATTTCCAGAAAGATTTTGATTCCCATGGTTTTCCTCTTTTGTTTTATTTTGTGGAAGACCCAAACCAAAAAACGGGGCAGAAAAAACTTGAAGGAAGTTGACCTTATTTTCCTCTCTCTATAGAATCCTGGGTTCATCACTTAACTGATCTTTGGTTTTAGATCAATGTTGGCTTAAGACTCTGTAGACAAAGAGGGTTTAAAAAAAGAATTTGATATTGCTTTTGTTGATAATAACATGAACATTTTTTTTTACAGTCGGCTTTCTTTTGGTTATTCAGAAACCCTACGCTTCATTTTTGCCATTCAAGTGACCAATAAGAATTCCCAGCTCCTGCACAATCTCACGCTTGGCTACAAACTCCATGACAATTCTTTTAGCACCTTACGCACTTCAGATGCCTTGCTGGACATTTTCTCCACTGGAGACGCCAATGTCCCCAACTACAGCTGTGGAAGGAAGGAGAACCTTCTGGCTCTTCTTGATGGAGCTAGCAGGGACATCTCCATCCAGATGTCAACCTTAGTAGGCATCTACAAAGTCCCACAGGTGTGTGTGTGTGTGTGTGTGTGTGCTCCTTTATCTGAGTGGGATGGTGTTGGGTGGGCAATAGATCCAACCATATCTTTTCTATGGAAGCTAAGAGCTGCTTTTCTCCATATTAGAGAATATGTCAACTACGTTCTATGTTCATGTTCAAATTCATTATAAATGTCCTGAAGACCAATAAAGTCCCTGGAGAGGACTTTCCATGGATATTCAGATATTCAAAAATATTCCTACTTATGGGGCCCTTTATATGTATGTTTATTTCACATATAAATAGTAGTTTTCATATCCAGTGTGGTTGAAGTTTGCAACAGTAGTGTCTCTGTGTGTATACAAAATGAAATAAAAAGGACTCTAGCAATTACAGGTTAGACTAACAGATATTGTGGCTAAAATATATGCCATGTTCCTTTTAGACAAATTTGACAGAGGGAAGAAGAAAAGTTCATTCTTTAAAGAAAATAACAAAGGTTTTAGGTACAGTTAAAAGTTACATAAATTTGAATAAGAAATAATGCATAAATTAATAATCTAATATTGACAACAGATTTGTCTTGAAGTACATAACATAAAATATGTCAGTGGGGTAAACCACAGATTGTTGGCTTTACAGATGTTAGGGCATCATTTGACGTAGTAAAAGGAGAAATATTATGGAGGAAATTGATTGCTCTTCAAAAGGAGCTGTTGGCCCTGATCCAAGCCCTTTCCTCAAACATTTGTTTGAGATGGAGGTTTAGAGCCATGAGAAGATCGATCGATCCTTTCCGTAGGCTAAGAGAAGGGTGCATATTCAAACCATTCTCTCTAGATATTAATGACTTGCCAGGAGCAATGAAGGACCCTGAAGTATTTAATGTGCACATTAAATATTTAAATGCACATTTAATATTTAATGTGTTAAATACGAAATGGGACATTGGACAATGGATAATTTATTTTGATCATACTCATAAATTGCATTCTGTAGGCTGTTAGCAAAACTTTGCTCCTACTGATAATCATTCAATGATTATTGATAATAAATCAAAGTCAAAAGCTATGGTCTTTCAAAAGCAACATCGTAGCCATAGATGCCTATTGTGAGCAAACAGAGTCAGTAACACCTTTCCTTACCTGGAATAATTTTCACTGAGACTGGATATTGCTTCCCACATCATCAAAGGAGACGCTTAGAAAAAGGGCACAAATAAATTTAGTGCTTAAAAAAACACATAACTATCCAGCTTTCTTTCCATTTATTAAAGTATATAATGCCAAACTTATCCCAAGCCCTTATATCAAACTGAAATTTGGGGCTTAATACACATCACTACTGGAACAAACCCAATGACAGCATCTGAGAAGTAGCTTAAGGATGAAGCTGCTTCCCTCAGAACTGAACTGGGAATTTATGCAATTTATCCTTTGTCTAAAATCAATGTATATAATTATTCATGCACAATTAAAATTATGGAATCTGAGAGACTCCCAAAATTCTCTGTGTTAGAACTGTAAAATTTCAGTTAAAGACAACATAAATTGTACAACTGACAAATTATATTAGGAGAGGTGTTCTCCCTTTCTCTTGTACAACTGGAGAACACATCTATTACTGGAACGTCAATTGTCTAGGAGAGAGAGGGAGGGAGAAATCAGTATCTTGGCCTGAACATCACACAAATGACCCTATTGGGATCAAAATAACAGACAACATATCCTGGCCCATCACAATTTTAAAAAATACACATAATACAGCTCATTATTTGAGCAAAACAGTTAAGTTGAGATCTGGATGTGTGGGTGTGATTATGGTAAATTGTATGGGTGATACAGAAATGATTTATATTCTTTATTCTTATTCTTTCTTACTAAATTTATTCTTGCATTCTGTTTTTATACACAGATTTATTAATGTTCTGTGTTCTGCATTATGCAGTTTGATATGACTTCGTGGGAAGTCAACAATAAATCATTCGAATATGTCTGTGAGAACTAATAAGGAGCTATTAAAAATGAATATTTGGATTTGATCTGACCCCAAATATAACACAGCATTTTTCATTGCTTTTTCAGATCAGTGTTGAACCCGTTTCAGAGACTCTGAGTGATAAAAGCAAATTCCCCTTTTTCCACCCATCGCTCCCCACACAAGCGTTCCAGTACCCAGCCATTGTCCAGCTGCTGCTCCACTTCAGATGGACCTTGATTGGTCTCTTTGCTTCAGGCACAGAGGAGGGAGCACATTTCATGAAGGCTTTCCCTCCTATGCTTGTCCAGAATGGAATTTGTGTTGTTATATCACAACAGTTCTCAACAACTGGTCATACAGCATCCCTCAGGGAGGCCCTCTCTAAGTGGAGACAAATCAACGTCTTTGTTCACTTCGTAGAATATGATTCCCTTTGGGCCACAATTCTTCCTTTCCATTTAGCACTCAGGCGTTTGCCAGGACCCATTGAAGGTAAAATCTGGATGTTGACAGTCTTGGGCCATTTCACAATTGGAAGGCACAAACTTCTCAAATTTATCCATAGTATTTGGACATTTGGTCTGGAGAGGAAATCTAAGCAGATATCATTTGAACCCAATTTATTTTTGGAACCCCAGGTTGAAGATCATTATTTCCACTGTTCCCTTTCCAAGCAGGTCTTTTCTGTCAAAGGCCGCAGAAGATGCACCCAAAAAGCCCCACTGGACACCCAGCAGAAAAGGAACAGAATGAGAATTGAAAATTATGCCCATTTGTACAGTATCATTCAGACTCTGGCCCAGTCCTTGAAGGCTGCCTATTCCTCCAGATCGAGGAGGAGGAAAAGCAAGGAGGTCCAAGAGAGGCTGGAGGGTTGGAGGCTGCAGCCATGGCAGGTAAGAGGTCCTGACAACAAGGATCCCTCAAAGTTAGTAACTTTTTTGAAAGTACCCAAAGGAGATGCGGAAGAACCTTCTGAGGGTAATAGCTTTGGCCAATTTAATCATTCATGTCAGAGGATTATGTTCCTAAGAGAAAGCGCCATGACAGATATACAGTATTCTGATATTAAAAACTGCTAATTTTAAAAAAGATGGGTGCATTTTAAATAAATTGCTATCTTTATGGGTTTATGATTAGATTGTGTAGATTTCTTACCTTCATAAATCTGAGGGAGCCCCTGAGATTATCTAACCCAACCCCTCCTCTCTGCAGGAATCCCAATCAACCAGAGAAGAGGAGACTGACCTCTCATTCACTGGCTCAGCTCTAAAAACAGTTCCTCTTTTTAGGATGTGTTTCCTCTCATTCAGCCAGACTCTCCTCTCTTGTCACTGAATTCATGTTTTCATGTCTGACACTCTGGAATAATAGTGAGCAGATCTTGCGCTCGTGTGTAACGTGTGTCAGTGATGGGAAGAGGGCTGTATCCTCCCTTCTCCAACCAAGAGATTGTATCAGTTCGAAAAGGTGCTCCAGACCCCTTCTGATTTTTCTCCCTGTAATTATCAGGTTAATTATATGATTATTCATCTAATAAATTAGTTACTGCCACCAATTTATTACAATCAATGACAAATATACATTAATAATGTCAACAAGTACAAATGAAGCCTTGATGATAGATCTACATGATAGAGTTCTCATCCATCTGCTCTTATATGAGATACCTTCGTTTATTAAGTCCAAATTGCGAAATGTATTTTTCAGATATTTTTCTACTGGATTTAATTTATACACCTTTCATCATTGAGAAATTATATTTTTTTCCTGGAAGCTGGGAATGTTTTTCTTTTCACTTTATTTTATTTCTAAGAAAGTTCAAAAACAAACCACCAAAACATTAAAAAAAGCAAAAGAAACAAGATAGAGACTAAATCCTTTTTAATGCACTTTTTCTTTTTAATGTCTTGTTGAAGCTAGGAGTTTTTCAAAAGTGAGCTAAGTAGCTTTATCTAAGAATTGGAATAAATCATGTGTCAAAATATCATGATTTATCAATTCAATCTGCCTGTATTAATGAATATATTGAAGAATAGATAAGCAGGGATTAATTTTTGTTCATATCTCCCCAATTCTATGAGGAACAGTGACATTTATTTGAGTACAAATTTTAAGATATTCTTTTCCCACTTAATTATAACTTCTACTGACCCTCAATTAACTTGGATTCTGATCATGATTTCATGAAGATTTGTTAATCCTTTGATGAAATCAAGTTATATCAAAAGCATTCCCACAGTCTACTAACAAAGTCTAATGATATGTGGAGATGACCTTGGGGATGGAGGAAAACATGTTGGCTAGAAATAATCAGATTTTTAAAGAGAGACTGGACAGCCACTTGTCTGAAATGGTATAGGGTCTCCTGCTTGAGCAAGGGGCTGGACTAGAAGACCTCCAGGGTCCCTTCCAGCTCTATTATTCTGTATTCTGTAGATAGGAGGCAGGAGAGCCTTCAGCTGCATAACAGGCAGAGAAAGAAACCCAGAAAGGATCCTGTCTGATTTTTCAGGCTGCAGAAATAGTGTGTGTGGTGGTGATGGTGGGATTTGTGCTTTCAGACTTCAAGGTTCCACTAATATAGCATTAAAATAAATGAGAATTAACTCAGGTTTCCTGCCTGTTTACCTGGGAGAAGGTTACCCTGGGAACTTACTTCTAGACAAATATATTCTTATTAATAATCACCCTGTTGTTTTCAAGGAGTCTATAAATACTCTCATTATTGGATTGTTTATTCAGTTGTGACAGCTCTACATTATTTTATATAATTGACAAATTTTGTCAATTTTGTTTTATCAATATATGATTAACATATTTTGCTAAATCTTTGTTTTTTTTTCCTTTTGAAGATAATGGTAACTCTTGTTCTCCCAACTAAGAATATTTGCAGGTCAAATGAATATAAAAAAAATCCATATGTGAAAAGACTACATAAGATAAGAAAGCAGAATTTTGGCTTTTAACATTCCTGGAGTTTCCATTTCAGTTTCATCCCTTTCTGATGAAGAATGAGTTTTGCAATCTTTCTGCGAGGAAACTGTACTTGGACCAAAATGGAGATGTAGCAGCAGATCTGAACATCAGGACCTGGAAGGTTCTTCCCAATATGGATCACATCTTTCAGATCCCAGGGACTTTTGAAAGAGGAAGACTTAATATCAACCAAGATGTTCTTTCAAGGCTAAAGTTGCACAACAAAGTGTGTGAAATATTGGTGATTTTCTCTGTTTTCCAAAGCTTTAGGAACCATTTTCACTGGGCTAAACCTAATCACCAGCGTGGGTGACCTTCACTGAGAATTGAATGTGGTGGGGAATTATGGTTTCCTTAGACTGCTTGGGAGGCTTCAGTAGTAATGAAGAAAGTGTCCTTCAGATGCTATGAGATGGAACAATGTTCTAAACTAATTCAGAAAACCTGGGATCCAGGATGAGGATTCTTTAGGGCATAGATCAGAGGTGGGCAACTATGGCCCCTTTATGACTTGTGGACTTCAACTCCCAAAATTCCTGAGCTAGCATGGCTTGCTCAGGAATTCTGGGAGTTGAAGTCCATAATTCATAAAAGGGCCATAGTTGCCCACCCCTGGCATAGATGATGTGTCTCTTCCATATCTATTATCTCCATAAACCTGGGGATAAAGCCATCGAGTGCTGGGAACTGTGGTGCTGATAGCCTCAAGTTCGCTTATTCCTTGTCTTCAAATATTAAAGAAGGCAACTTGGTTGACTAGCAAATGAGTTCAAGTTTGGACTGAATCCAATTAAGTTTACAAATTTGCAGATGATACTATGCTGGCAGGAATAGCTAACACCCTAGAAGATAGGCTCAAGATCCAGATGGATCTTGACAGACTTGAACGCTGGGCCCTATCTAACAAAATGAAATTCAATGTAGAGAAAAGTAAAGTCCTACACTTAGGCAAGAAAAACCAAAAGGACACATATAGACTGGGTGAAACCAGGCTCAATAGCAGTAACTGTGAGAGGGATCTTGGAGTCTTAGTGGTCAACCAGCTAAATAGGAGCCCACAGTGTGCAGTGGCAGCCAAAAAAAGCTAATGCAATCCTAAACTGCATTAACAGAGGGACAGAATCAAGATCAAGGGAGGTACTAATACCACTCTATAAAGCCTTAGTAAGGCCACGCCTAGAGTACTGCATCCAGTTTTAGTCACCACACTATAAAACATATGAAGAACATTACAGGAACTGCACATGGCAAGTCTAGGGAAGAGAAGGACCAGGGGAGACAGGATAGCAGTCTTCCAATATTTGAGGGGCTGCCCCAGAGAAGAGGGGGTCAAACTATTTTCCAAACCACCCGAAGGCCAGATAAGAAATAATAATGGATGGAACCTGAACAAGGAGAGATTCAACCTGAAAATAAGGAGAAATTTTCTGAGAACAATCAACCAAGGGAACAAGTTGCCTTTGGAAGTTGTGGGAGCTTCATCACTGCAGGCTTTCAAGAAGAGACTGGACTGCTATCTGTCAGATATGTTGTACGGTCTCCTGCTTGGGCAGCGGTGGGGGGTTGGACTAGATGACCTACAAGGTCCCTTCCAACTCTGTTAATCTTTAAGTAAAGAGATCTTGTGGGTCCTCATGGAAAAGAATCTTTGCAATTAGAATTCAGCTTCTCCAAACTTGCTTGCTGCCTGCCTCCCTGTCCAGAGTGACTCTGGGTGGTTTAGAATAGAGTGTGTTGTTTGTATCATGTCTCGTATCATAGAATTTCATGACTGAGAAAACCGAAGTACCGGAATATTTCTCTGATCCAAAGAAAAGCCCTTCCTGATAGCAAATGTAATGAAGGGAAATCTGAAAGATTTACATTGGGCCTTTGGCTTGTAAGAGAGCTCTGAAAACCCCTTGAATGCCACAGTTTTTCTTGGTGGTCAGTTACCTTCAGCCTCTCTGAGTGAAAAGGAGATTCCAAATTGAACTAATAATAAATGTGGGTTGCAAAGGTGCTTTTTCAAGAGGCAATTGGACTTTTTGGTTTTTCTTTGAAGAAGTTTCACTTCTCACCCAAGAAGCAAAACATCTTCAAAGAAAACAAGGAAGCTCCGTTGCCTCTTGAAAAGGTACCTGAATGACTGAGAATCTCCATAGACACTAAATGTGGGTCTTTCTTTCCATGCCAGTTGCTGTCACCTAATTGTAGTTCTTCAGAGGAAGGACCTTTTCTAGGATCTCTAGATGGGTTTTAGAAATACCATCTTCTGGCACAGGACTCATGTCCCATTTATTGCAAGAAAAGATGCCTCAGCTATCCTTTCTGAGGGGCAGTTCTCGTGACTTCACCGCCATCTCATCTCACTACAATTCTAGAAACTAAAAAGTCCATTTTATCCTTGTTTCAGCAGCACTGCAGAATTTAACAGATAAATATACAAATAAACAAGAAACATCTCCTTTAAAATTGACAGTTGTAATTTGAAAGGAAATTCTCCTTTGCATGTTAAGTTGGAGACTGTTTTGGAGTGGATTTTCAATGTTTTAGATAATCCAGAAGAAACCTTTACAGAATTTATTGGTCAGAGGTTTCTTTCTTCCACAGTTTATCTCTATTTTAATAAATCTGATACAGTAAAAAATTAATAAATCTCAAATTTAGAATAAATAGTATTAATATACCTTCCTCCACTCTTCGGATACCCATCATTTTAAAATACGATTATCTATTCATATTAAATTGAAGAATTTATTAAATTTAGAATGAATAAATGCAAATTTTAATATGAATAGATTTTAAAAGTATGGAAATATGAAGAATGGAAGAATGCACATTAATGAGGGTCATGAGGAGGAACTGACTGGTTATCACTTAATGCTTAAATCTTTTTTCAATTCCAATCCTCCAGACTTTATTAAGTAGAAAAGTCCTTTCTTGTCATGTGATATGCCAGAAGCAAAACTTTAGGAATTATATGAAACATCTACCAGTAATTGTATTTTGTATCTCCTACAACCATTTGAAACTAGTCAGAGATATCATATGTTCCTGAGTGAAGACCAGAGGCTACTTGGATAATCTCCATATCTACTTCCGTTTTCCATGGATGGAGAGTCCTAACATATTTTCTTTGCCATTCCTTCCTTTCTTCTTCTTTTTTTTTTTTTAGAAAAACTTTATTAATTTTACCATTAAAAACAACACATCTACAAATTATATACAGAAGAGAAAGCAAACAGGCCTTGGCAGAGGCCGAGAGGGAAAGAGAGAAGGGCAAATGAGGGAGGAGAGGGAAGGGTAAGGGAAAGGGGGGATAGAATGGGAAAAACAGTTAAAATAAAACCATATTTTTGTGACTGTCTGTAAGATCCTTTCTTCTTCAAATATATCGTCAGCGGTACTTTTCATTAACTCTGCTTAGGTAGCCCTTGGCTACAATTTTTCTCGAAATAGTCTATCTTTGATTTAGCCAATTGTACCAAGGATTCCAATTGTTATAATAGGTTGAGGATTCTTTATTTTTTAATGATTGGGTTAGTTTGTCCATTTTGGCGCATTCTAAAATTTTCTGAATGATCATTTGTTCAGTGGGGATAGAAGGTGATTTCCAGCACTGAGCAAATGCCAATCTGGCCGCGGTTAGGATATGAATTATAATATACTTCGATTTTTTGGATACTTGTTTATCAAAAATTCCTAGAAGGAAGGACTCTGGTTTGTACTCAATTTGTTCCTTAGTAATCTCCTCTAGCCAATGCCTAATTTTTTGCTAATGTTTCTGAGTTTCTTTGCATGACCACCACATATGAAAGAAGATACCTTCTATGTTTTGGCATTTCCAACATTTGGGACTCGTGTTGGGGTGCATTTTCGCCAATCTCGAAGGGGACAGGTGCCATCTATAAAACATTTTGTATGAGTTTTCTTTATAAGCTGCTGATTTCGTGATCTTAATGTTCCTATTCCAGATCCTTTCCCATTCTGCTAGGGTGATACTCCGTCCCACGTTTCTGCTCCACGCAATCATATTTCCCTTGACAATCTCTTGTTCTAGTTCCGTTTCCAATAAGTGTTTGTAGAATTTAGATATATATTTTTTATTCGGTCCTAATAGAATTTTGTCTAAAGTCTGCAATTTATTGTAGATTCCGAATTCCTTAATATCTTGTTTATATCTACTATGGATTTGAAGGTACACCCACTGATCAATTATAAATCCTCGCTCTTGTAATTCTTGTCGTGTTTTCAGCTTTCCTTGTGGGTCTAATAAATTCTCATATTTACCTTCCTTTTTTCTTCTTAGTCCTTGCCTCAGTCCAGATGTGTGGAAAGTTGTCCTCCTGGATTTGCCAAGAGGGCTCAAGAAGGAGAGCCAGTTTGCTGCTACGACTGTGTTCCTTGTCTGGTGGGGACCTTCTCCACTCAGGAAGGTGGGTGACACCAGAGGAAAATGGGAGGCCTGGTGGAAATGGACTTAGCTGGAGCATTTTTGTGAATGTACATGTGGAAAAACACTTTGAAATTGTTTATTTTCAAAATGCACAATTTCATATTTAATGGAAAGAATAACCAAAAGATCTTGAAGGAGAGATTAAGAAGAGATTGGAAGGTAAAGCAGATTGGGCAAGCTTTATCATTGTTAGGGAAAATAATTCTTAACCTTTCTAGGGACACCTGAATTGTTTGAAATTTTTCTTATTCATTGCTTTTCTTCATCTGAAGCATATTGACATTATGTCATCCCCTTAAATTAACACATAAAAAGTTATATCAAGCAATCAATTCTATTAAGGTCATCAACCACCATAAGCAAATCATCTTCTTGAAGGATCAGAGAGAAGATGCTTTTGAATATTTTCAGCTTGTTTTCTCTTTCTTTCTTTCTTTCTCTCTCTCCTTCCCTCCCTCCCTCTCCCTCCCTCCCCTCTCTTTCTCATAGTGAAATACAAACTTTTTTTTGTTTTTTGCTTTCTCAGATACTGAAAAATGCACCAAGTGTCCGGATGATCAATATCCAAATGAGGACAGAATCCAATGTGTCCCCAAAGTTATAACCTTCCTGTCTTATGAAGAACTTCTGGGCATCATCCTGGTCTCTTTTGCCCTATTCTTGTTCCTAACCACAAGCCTTGTTTTAATCGTCTTCATTAAATACCGAGAAACTCCCCTTGTCAAAGCCAACAACCGGGACCTCTCCTACATCCTCCTGGTCTCCTTCCTGCTTTGCTTCTTGTCTTCTTCTCTCTACATTGGTCAACCAAAGAAAGCCACCTGCCTTCTCCGACAAACGGTTTTCAGCATCATCTTCTCAGTCGCCATTTCTTCTCTCTTGGCCAAAACCATCACGGTGGTTCTAGCCTTCCTGGCCACAAATCCAGGAAACCAAGTGAAGAGATGGTTGGGGAAGGGTTTGGCCAACTCCATCATCCTGTCTTCTTCTGGTGTCCAAGTTATCATCTGCTCCATCTGGCTAGGAGCTTCTCCCCCCTTCCCTGACTCTGACCTCCACTCCCAGCCTGGAGAGATCATCCTGCAATGCAACGAAGGGGCCGTTGTCATGTTCTACATCACCCTCAGCTACATGGGCTTCCTGGCTGCCACATGCTTCACGGTGGCTTTCCTAGCCAGGAATCTACCTGGGGCCTTCAACGAAGCCAAGCTGATCACCTTCAGCATGCTGGTCTTCTGCAGTGTCTGGGTGAGTTTTGTGCCCACCTACCTGAGCACCAAAGGGAAATACATGGTGGCTGTGCAGGTCTTCTCCATCCTGGCCTCCAGTGCTGGTCTGCTGGTCTGCATCTTCATCCCCAAGTGCTACATTATCCTTCTGAGGCCTGAGCTGAACACAAAGGAGCAGCTAAGAAATGTGGAGACATGAGACAGATGAATTTCGGCTTCAAGCTATTTTCCATACATGAGTGGAGCAGCGATTTTTATTGAAATAAATAAAGAGTGTCTGGAAGAATGTGAGGAAACCAATTTCTTGGAGGAATGAGACTGTATTACCCAGATAGAAATAAAGAGTTAATGCACGTGCAAACTTTTATTTAGACAGTATCTCTCTCTTAAGGCTGGTAACAGCAGTTGGGCATGAAGGTACCTTGAGGTGTGCTAATTATGAATATTCTCAGTTATATCATCTAGTAGATATTCATATTGATGGTTATCAATATTCTCCTGAATGTTGATGGTTATTCTCCTTTTCCCAAATGTATAAATATGAGTGTATCCTTTTGTGTGTGGGAATCTGTCCTGCTGTTTTCTAGAGGAAAATTCCTCCAGTGGACACTGAATAAATAATTACACCAGTGAGCTTTGATTTATTGGGGTTTTTGGGTCCTGCATTTGATTCCAGAGAAACTGGTATCAGGAGTGGGATTAATAATCTTCCATCTGCCACCAGGGACAACATCTAGGGCACCCCATAGGGTGAGGGTTGTGAGGTTGATGCCATGTTCCTTCCTGATGCCACATAAAGGCACTGTTTAGGACTGTGTGTGAGGCCATAACCTGTGTCTGCAGGTCTGTTGTGGTGGGGAGCTTTGTTGAGTGTATGTGGTGCCTTCTATCCCAATTCTCCGCCACCCCGGCCCTGCTGCGACCTCAGCCGAGCAATGGCTGGAGGGGTCCAATAACTGGGAGGGAATTTGCAGTGCCAACGGAGATGTTCTAAGTCCCCTCTGCCCTCCAGCCCTTCATGGTGGCTCCAGCCCTGGATCAGCCCTCCAGCCCTGGATCTGCTGGCCAGTCTGACTTCCACAGAGAGGAGGGTGGCCAGTCTGTTGGCCTCCAGGAGGCATCCAGTGGAGGGGGGCAGTGAGAGACCTGCCATCCTGCAGGCACTTCTGGCCGTAAAAGCAAGGCGAAGACCCCATTGGAGAAGGAGCAGGTGAGGGGTTCGAGAGGGAGGCTCCTTCCCTCCATGGAGGCTCAGACACAACTGCCCCTCCCCCATTTCCTGGGCTGCTTCCTCACCAGCCCCCAGGAAGGTCAAGAATGACCCCCCAGGATTTCAGAAGTTGGTATGTTCCAACGATTCTCTGCCTGCCCAGAATCCCCCTGTCCAAGTGGATCAGCCCGAAGAAGCAGCAAAAGGTCCCAACTAATAAAAAATATACCCCGTTGCCATGACAATGTTTCCGGGCCTCCATCTTGACTATATTAGAATAAAATATAGAGTATAGAATAGAATATAGAATAAGAATGGAATAGAATATAGAATTGAATAGAATAAAATAGAACAGAATATAGAATAGAACAGAATAGAATAGAATAAGAATAAAATAGAATAAGAATGGAATATAGAATAGAATAAACTTGATTGTCACTTTAACTGTAGACTAATCGACATAGATTAAAATGAAATTTCACTGCACAGAGCTCTCAAAGGTTGTTAAGTGAATCACCCCTGTCATTAAGCAAATCACACAGTTATTAAGTGAATCAGGCTGTGGTTGAGCAACTCTGGCTTCCCCAATGCCTGAAATTGGCAAAAAAAAAACAGTCACACATTGGGACCAGGGATGTTGCGACAGTCGTAAGGGCGAGTACAGGTTGTAAGTCACTTTGTCTGAGGCTGTTGTAACTTTGAAGCATTATTAAAGATACGGCCATAAGTGGAGGACTGCCTGTGATGGACCTGGGTGGGGAAGATGAAACCCTTTAAGCCTCCTGCCTTTGTCCAAGTTCTGCCTGTAAGGAGCTCATGGATTTGCTCCATTTGTATCTGATTCACAGCAGCCTCAAAAGCATAAATACGATTCCAGCCTTTACGCCATCGAGTCCAAGGTTAACCCAGTTCCAAACCAGGCTGCCAAATTAAGGTAGCTTTCAAGGTCTCCGATTTAGCTTTAATAGTTACGCTTTATATGGTGTTTCATTTGAGTTTCTGCAGGAAATTAGACAAAACTTATATAAAATGCTTTCATCTATTGCATTTGCTGCTTAAACTTAAAAAATACCCCATATCTATCCATCTTTCTTCTCATTTATTAAAGTAGGTAATGCTAAAGTTCCCCACAACTGGGGGTGCAGCCCCACTCAGGGAGACCCTCTCTGGGGGGAGATGAGTCAGTTTTATCAATGGAGACTGTGTGGAAAGAGTTCATAGTCTTACATTTCTAAGAACTCATATTTCCAACAACCTTACTTGGTCGGTTCACACTATGGCCACTGCAAAGAAGGCCCAACAGCGCCTGCACTTTCTGAGGCTGCTGAAAAAGAGTGGTCTGGGTGAGAAGTTGCCGGTTACTTTTTACCATTCTACCATTGAGAGCATTTTGGCCTACTGTGTAATGGTGTGCTATGCTGGATGCTCTGCAGTGGATGAGAAGATGCTCCAGAGAGTTATAAACAGCACAAAAAATCATTGGTTGCTCTCTTTCTTCTTTGGAAGAGATTGCGAAGACCAGACTCCTCTCTAGAGCATTAAAAATCTCCACAGACCGTTCTCATCCTGGACATTCATATTTCGAACTGTTACCATCAGGGAGGCATTATAGGTGTCTTAAAATGAGGACTAATAGATTGAGAAACAGTTTCTTTTCCAAGGCAGTAAATGTCCTGATTCAAACAGTGTGTTTGTGATTTAGTCCTATCATTACTATTATTATTATTATTATTATTATTATTATTATTATTATTATTATTA